CTACCATAGATAGCAGAGACACCTGTAAGTGGATGCCCCTTCCTGGCCCAGAGCACAGTGGGAACAAGACCCTGGACTATCCTGATGAAGGAATTTCAAAGAAACTACTTCACTGCTGGGTGTGGCTCAGGGGTGGAGCCCTTGCCCAGAGAACTCCCAGTCAGGGGCTGAGGGGCATGGCTCTGAGGAAAGGAAGCCTCTGTTAACTTTTTTTCCAGTAAATAGAATTTATGGCACTGATCCTGGGCTTTCCAACATCTGTGATTATTGAGGTTGTTGCTTCCTGCTGCCCCCTGTGGGAGCTGCCACCACCTTTGGCTTTTAGGGAACAGTTGGAACAGCCCAGTTCATTCTAAGGCATCCCAACTCAGTGTCCACCAAGTTCCACCAAGGGGACTTACAGAGTTGGCCCTTATGGAGCCCACCTGTAATTTCCATTCTTGACAGTTCCATCCCAGTACTGGAGATGACAGGTATTGGCTACGCCCTCATGTTCCACATATGCTAACATGTGACTTTTTTGCTGCTGGCTGCTCTGGACAGCAAGTGATTTTCCAGTGCCTATAACTGCGTCTCCCCAGAGCCTGCTCATCCTATGAATTCAATCTTTTCTCTCTGACTCAGAACTGGCTACAATGTAAATAATGTGTCCATGACTGTTTTGCTGTGTTCTCTATAGAATCAAGGCAGAGAATACATCTGCAGTCCTGGTGCCACAGCCTTTAACCCCAGCATTCCAGAGGCAGAGGCAGGCGGCTCTCCATGAGTCTGCCATCCTGGACTACACAGTGAGACCCTGTCTAAAACAAAAGCAAACGAGAGAGAAGGGGGAGCATTTCCGTCCAGATTCAACATAGCTTTCTGTGGGGTGAGGTGAGGATTGAGACAGGGTTTCTCGTGTAGCCCTGGCTGTCCCAGAACTTATTCTGTAGACCATGCTGGCCCCGAAGCCCTCTCACAAACCCAGACAGTCTTGCTGTAGCCCAGGCTAAGTCCCTCATCATCTTCCTGCTTTATCCCTCCCATGTGCCCCAGTGACGGGATGACAGGTGTGCAGAACCATAGCAAGATGGACACAGTCTAAAAAGAAAAACATTTAAATATAAAGATGTTTAAATCCGGCTGTATTTGAAGAAGCCAAGAGGCCTTTGACTGGGACCTTTGCACTGGCATCTTTACATGGAGAAGAAGGGGCATCAGGATCTTGTGTGCAGAGAACACAAGGAAAGGGTGGATGAATTAGAGGCTACCTTGTGCTACACAGTGAGATCCAAGACTGATGCCCAGGACCCACAGACCCACATGGTAGAAAGAGAAAGTGGATTCTCCCAAGCTGTCCTCTGACTACAGGGCAGACAGACACACACACACACAAGCATGCACATGCGCACACATACACACACATGAACAGATACATGCACACACATACACACAAAACTTGAAGGCAATATAAGAAAGAACCTTTAGAGGGCCAGGAAGAGGGCTCATTAAGAAATCATGACTGCCTGAATGTGACTCTGAATGGCTGTAAGGATGTACCTGCCTTCCCAGCCGAGCCTGGATGCTGAGCCCACTCATATCTCTGAGCTCTGAATTTGATTGAGAGAGCCTGCTTCAATAACTAAGGTGGAAGAGGGATGGGCAGAACCCTGACAACCTCTGGCCTTGCATGCAAGTACCTGTGTGTGCTCACAGAGAAAGATGTCCTTTAAAATTGCATATTCTGGGCTGGTGAAATGGCTCAATGGTTAAGAGCACTGGCTGCTCTTCTGGAGGTCATGAGTTCAAATCCCAGCAACCATATGGTGGCTCACAACCATCCGTAATGAGATCTGATGCCTTCTTATAAGCTGGGCGGTGGTGGTGCACGCCTGTAATCCCAGCACTTGGGAGGCAGAGGCAGGCAAATTTCTGAGTTCGAGGCCAGCCTGGTCTACAGAGTGAGTTCCAGGACAGCCAGGGCTGTACAGAGAAACCCTGTCTCGAAAAACCAAAAAAAAAAAAAAAAAAAAAATTGTCGAGGGTGGAAGAGGTGGGTGAGTGCTCAGAGCATGCACTGTTAGTGAGGAGGATGAACCCTAGCTTCAGCACTCCCACGGTGCTTTAACCAACCCTCTGTAGCTCCAGTTCCAGGGGACTTGTGCCCCCTTCTGGCCTCTAAGGGTACCTGTACTGACACCCATATATATATAAATAAAATCTTTTTAAAAATTACATGATTTTTTTAATTTTTAAAAATTTTTAAATTTTAAATTTTTAAAAAATTACATAAGTAGCTCAGTGGAGAGCACAGGCCTAGCGTCTGCAGAGGTCCTGGGGTCCATCTCCAACACCAGGAGAACCGATCAGTATTGAAGCCATTGGCCTGTTGATTGTCCAGGAAGATACAAATTGCATATTGGTTTAACCTTCCATGGGCCTCCCCACTTCCCTCCTGGAGCCTGTGTCCTGGCTGCCACCACCCAACTTTTAAACTCCTCTCCAAACCCCATCAGTAACTACTTACAGAATGAACACATCCATCCCATCCTTGGCAACCCTGGGATCTGTGCTACTACTTTCTCTACTTCCTGAGTATTTAAAAATATACATATTAGGGTTGGAGAGATGGCTCAGCAGTTAAGAGCACTGACTCCTTTTTCAGTGGTCCTGAGTTCAATTCCCAGCAATCACATGGTAGCTCACAACCATCCGTAATGGGATCTAAAACCCTCTTCTGGTGTGTCTGCTATAGTGTACTCATATACATAAAATAAATAAATAAATCTTTAATATATACATATTAAAATATTAAATATATATACTTGCATATATAAACCAACATAAATAAATAATAATAAATATTTATAAATACAGTTTTGTTTTTGGAGACAGGATTTCTCTGTGTAGCCTTGGCTTTTCTGGAACCCACTCTGTAGACCAGGCTTGCCTCAGACTCAGAAATCCACCTGCCTCTGCCTCCCACTGCACCACCACAGCCTGGAGATAATGCACCTAGGGGGAGAGACCTGGCGAAACTCTGAGTATCTTACATTGCTAGTACCAGTGGCTGAGCTGGGGCTCTACATGAGAGTTCACAGTCAGGGGTTCGGAGGTGGCTTACAGCTATTCACACCCAGTGGAGTGCCTGTGGCAGGTAGCCCAGAATGTGCCTATGCATGACAGGCAGATGTCTGCAACTGAAGAGGAACCATGGAGAGCAGAGACAGACTGAGGTATGGACAGACACAAGGATGCAGATAGCGGCTTGAGTGGCCTCAAGGTGTCTCCTCGTAGCTGACTCCCTGCAGACCTGAGGGACCACAGAAAAACAAATCATATTGAAAACAAAGAAAACCAACTAGTGAGATGGTTAGGCAGGTAAAGGTGCTTGCTGCCAAGCTTGATGACCTAAGTTCAAGCCCCAGGATACACACATGGTGGAAGAGGGTGACTCCCGAGGGTTGTCCTCAGATCTCTATGCCTGTGCTCTGTTGTGCGTGTGTGCACACACAATAATACAATTTTAAACTACATTTAGCTTTCTCATTCTCTGTGTGTGCCAATGTGCTACAGAACACGTATGGATGTCAGAGGACAACCCTTAGGAGTCAGTTCTCATCTTCCATCACGTGGGTCCTGGAAATTGACATCAGCCTGAGCTACATGAAATCCTACCTCAAACTAATCTTTAAAAAAGACCTTGAGGAACTGGAGCAACAGTTCAGCAGTGACTCGTACCCACAGGGCTGCTCACGCCACCAGTAACTCCAGCTGCAAAGAACCCGATGCCCTCTGCTGGCCTTGGTGGATGCGGCGAAAGCATGTGGCATTTAAAAAAAAATAATTTATGTGAGTTAGTGTAAGGGTGTCAGATCCTTTGGATTGGAATTACAGACAGTTGTGAGCTATCATGTGGTTGCTGGGAATTGAACTCGAGTCCTTTGGAAGAGCAGGCAGTGCTCTTAACCACTGAGCCATCTCTCCAGCCCTGCATGTGGCTCCTTCAAAAAAAAAAAAAGAAAGAAAGAAAGAAAGAAAGAAAAGAAAAAAACTAACATGAAAATTGAGACTGCTTAACGTTTCTGCAAATGTTAAGGGCGAATAGAGATGCACTGCCAGCTCATGATCTTACAGCCGGCGCGCGCCCCCTGCTGGTCAGCAAGCCCTTCGTAGTCGCCCCCTAGCACCTTCCACATCACTCCGGATTGGCTGCGAGTCACCTTTGGTGCCCTCTGGGAAATATAGTCCGCAGAGGAGGCGGAGGCGCATTCATTTCCTGCCTACGTAGCCGAAAACCGGAAGTACATCACCACATTGCTCAGGGTCGTTCGCAGTGTGCCGCTAAGCCTTGCCTGACACAACGAGACGCTTATTTACATTGTGTCGCGGATGCCCTACGGCGCTCTGGGAAATGTAGTCCTTTTTTTCCCGCTTCATGTTTTCTTGTTGATTCCGCGTTAATGACATGACAGAATGTACCTGGCCAAATTGCTCAGAGCCCCTCAAAACACGGCGTATAGCTTTACATGATGGGAGCTGTAGTCTTTCAACGGTACCTCGCCCAGTATTCTCTGATCTAGAGCATGGACTAATTGTCCAGCCAGTGACAAGTAACCGGAAATATGTCATCAGTTACTCAGGGTCACATACAACTTTATAGACGTGCATGATAGGAATTGAAAACTGAGAGACTTGGCCGGGCGATGGTGGTGCACGCCTTTAATTCCAGCACTTGGGAGGCAGAGGCAGGTGGATTTCTGAGTTCGAGGCCAGCCTGGTGTACAGAGTGAGTTCCAGGACAGCCAGGGCTACACAGAGAAACCCTGTCTCGAAAAATCAAAACAAACCAAACCAAAACAAACAAACAAAAAACCTGAGAGACTTTCTGAGAAACGTCCTTTTGAGAACTGAGTGAGAACGTGCTTCCGGCAATATCCACCTTAGAGTCAATACCATGCAATGCGTCACTACATTTCCCAAAGGTCGCACTACCCATTGGCCTTGCTTGGCGGAAATTGTCGTCCTTCCACCGGTTCTTCCCACCTGCCGACTTTCTAGCCCACTTCTCCCTTTCCCTTTCGGGAAATGGAGTTTTCCGGCTTTTCTGATTCCCAGTATCATCCGGTGGGTGATCGCTCATAAGACTCCATTTCCCAGCATGCCTGTGTACACTCTGTCCTCGCCCCTTAGAGACGGCCATTTTATTCCTCCCGGAGACGCACTAAGATGACAGCCCGAGAGAAGGTGAAGGTTGTCTCTGGTGATCGGCGGCCCGGCTAGCTCCAACAGGGAGGTTTCCAGCATGGATCTGCACACAGCGGTATACAATGCGGCGCACGACGGCAAGCTGCTGCTGCTGCAGAAGCTGCTGGCCGGCCGCGGGCGTGAGGAGCTGGAGGAGCTGCTGGGCGAGGTGGCCGGCGGTGGCACGCCACTGCTAATCGCAGCGCGCCGTGGACACCTGGACGTGGTGGAGTACCTGGTGGACCACTGCGGCGCCAGCGTGGAAGCGAGCGGCTCCGTACACTTCGATGGAGAGACCATCGAGGGCGCGCCGCCGCTCTGGGCAGCGTCGGCTGCGGGTCACCTATCCGTGGTGCGTAGCCTTCTGCGCCGAGGCGCCTCAGTCAACCGCACTACGCGCACTAACTCCACGCCTCTGCGCGCCGCCTGCTTCGACGGCCACCTGGATGTAGTGCGCTACCTGGTGGGCGAGCACAAGGCGGACCTGGAGGTAGCCAATCGCCACGGCCACACGTGCCTTATGATCTCCTGCTACAAGGGCCACCGCGAGATCGCGCGCTACCTTTTGGAGCGCGGCGCACAGGTGAACCGGCGCAGTGCCAAGGGCAACACCGCCCTGCACGACTGTGCAGAATCTGGCAGCCTGGAGATCCTACAGCTGCTGCTGGGCTGCCATGCGCGCATGGAGCGCGACGGCTATGGCATGACTCCACTGCTAGCTGCCAGTGTCACTGGGCACACCAACATCGTGGAGTACCTCATCCAGGAACAGCCCAGCCACGAGCAGGTCTCAGGGACAGAGCTTCCCAGAGAAGGCTCCTCCCAGGTGGCAGGAAACCCCTGTTCGACCCCAGAGGAGGCAGAACCTTATGAAAGCTGCTGCCCTACCAGCCGGGAAGCAGCTGTGGAAGCTTTGGAGCTGCTGGGTGCCACCTATGTGGATAAGAAAAGGGATCTGCTTGGAGCCCTGAAGCACTGGAGGAGAGCGATGGAACTCCGCCACCAGGATGGGGACTACCTCCCTAAGCCAGAGCCCCAGCAACTGGTTCTGGCCTATGACTATTCCAGGGAGGTGACCACGCCCCAAGAGTTGGAAGCCCTCATCACAGACCCTGATGAGATGCGGATGCAGGCGCTGCTGATACGGGAAAGGATCTTGGGCCCCTCGCATCCTGACACTTCATATTACATAAGGTACCGGGGAGCTGTCTATGCAGACTCTGGAAATTTCCAGCGCTGTATCCGTCTGTGGAAGTATGCCTTGGATATGCAACAGAACAACCTGGAGCCCCTGAGCCCCATGACCGCTAGCAGCTTCCTGTCGTTTGCAGAGCTCTTCTCCTACGTCCTGCAGGACCGCTCTGCTAAGGGCAGCCTGGGCATGCAGCTTGGCTTCACCGACCTCATGGGTGTACTCAGCAAAGGGGTTCGGGAAGTGGAGCGGGCTCTGCAGCTGCCCAAGGAACCTGGTGACTCCGCACAGTTCACCAAAGCCATTGCCATTATCCTCCACCTCCTGTATCTACTGGAGAAGGTAGAGTGCACCCCCAGCCAGGAACACCTCAAGCACCAGACAGTCTACCGCCTGCTCAAGTGTGCCCCTCGTGGCAAGAACGGCTTCACCCCACTGCACATGGCAGTGGACAAGGAGACCACCAACGTGGGCCGCTATCGTGTGGGCGTCTTCCCGTCACTGCAGGTGGTCAAGGTGCTGTTGGACTGTGGAGCAGACCCTGACAGCAGGGATTTTGACAACAACACCCCACTGCACATTGCCGCCCAGAACAATTGCCCGGCCATCATGGATGCTCTCATTGAAGCTGGGGCCCACATGGATGCCACCAATGCCTTCAAGAAGACCGCCTATGAGCTGCTGGACTCAAAGCTGTTGGCCAAGAGCACCGTGCAGCCCTTCAATTATGTGACACTGCAGTGCCTAGCTGCCCGTGCCCTGGACAGGAACAAGGTCCCTTATAAGGGCTTCATCCCAGAGGAGCTGGAGGCCTTCATCCAGTTGCACTGAGCCTGGCCTAGCCACTAGTGCCCACTTGGGCCTTACTTCTCCTAGCAGAAGCATCCAGTCCCCTTGGCCTGCTGGAGCGAGTCCAGCTGTTGATTCTAGAAGTCTTCAGGGTCACATGGTAGGAAGATGGTCTTTCTTTGTGGAAATGCAAAAAAAAAAAAAAAAAAAAAAAAGATGCCCAAGCCTCTCCGGTGGCATGCATCTGTCTGTGTCTAGGAGGCCTCTGCACTGTCACCCAGTCCCCAGCCCCCTTGTCCTAGAGTCTGCAGTGAGCAAACACTGGCTCCTTCCTGCAGTGGGCACCGGCCACCTAGATGTTTGCAGTTGGTTTGTCCCTTACTAAGCAGATGGGCAACAGCCTAGAGCCCACAGTGTGCGGGTTTTTCTCTGTCTTTTTTTCACCGGTTTCTGTTTGTTGGACTTAGTAATGACTTAGTTGGGAGTTGCCAGTATTTTGCAGTGGCCACAGCTGAGATCAGCATGAACTGTGTGTGAATGCAGATCTGTGACCAAGGTCCTGGGAAGCCTCCTCATTTCTGTAAATGGTTAGAGAGAGGACTAACCCCCAAGAAGGCCCAGAGCCAGTTAGTTGTATGAGTCACAGCCAGGCAGACACCAGTGCCTCTTGTCCTGCCCTCTGGACGGACAGATTTTCCAACCTTGGGCTGCAGCTGGAACTGCCTGGCAGATGCTATGGCCACCAGGTTCACATCTGTGCCATACTTGTCCTGTCACCTTCATTGCTGAGGACCTGACCCCCCCTCCTTGTATTGAGGAGTCCCCAGTATCCCAATAACTTCTGGGAATGGGCTTGTGACCAAGATACGGGAAGGTTAGGAGCTGCCAGCTAGGGCAGCGATGGACCCATGTGGTACCAGCTTGGCCCACATGGGGGCCCTGAGTGCAGCTCCAGCACCACAAAAAGTTACTGAACAGCTGCCTCTGACTCCACCAGCTCTGGACCCCATCATTTGTGGTGAGTGGTTCACCCTGGATCAGGTCAAGGCAGGAGCTACTCATCCCAGGCCTGTGGAAGCCAACTACAAGGGTAGCAAGTCACATGTAGAGGGGCCAGTCCCTCCCTCAGCCATGTAAGCCACATAAGCTGTCTGGCCCTTGAGGACATTAGTGTGTGATTGCAGTGCTAGGTAGGTTCTCTGTATAAACAAGCTTTAGGCCTTACTGGGCAGGACCTCACTGCTCCACCCTGCCAAAGTTCAGGTCAAACATGAACCCCTGTAAGTCTTGGCACTGATATTTATGAATTAAAATGCAGGTATGTGAAGACGTCTGCCTAGCTGTTATTTGATGTGGCTAGGTAGAGCTGGGAGCCTGGTGAGTGCTTGTCAAACATGCATGGCAGGAGGATCACAAGCTGGAGGCCACTGGAGTAGAGAGTAAGTTCAAAGATAGCCTGGGGGGTAACGACTATTTTCAAGACCATCTCCTATGAGGTATAGTGAACATTTACTGAGCCCCTGCTGCACCCCACGTGCTTACCTGGTTCATAGCAGCTGGCTTCTAATGGAGTCAATACCATTCAAGTATCTCAGGTGGAGCAAGTTCACAGAGGTTACACTAATGGTATGCCTAGGGACACAGAGCACATGAGAAAATGTCAGACTCAAACCCTCTGTCTCAGCAGCTGACATGTTCAGATCCATTCCCCTACCTCAGCACCCTGAACATACATCTATCTCATGGGTCCTTTATAACCACTGACCTCCCACCTCAAATCTAAGAACAGTTATTTGAGCCCCATGTTCTTCATGCTGTCAGAATTAGGAAATGCGACCTGAGGCCTGGCTTTGATGGACATTCTTCTGGGAGGGTTGATCCAGCAGGTCCCAGAGGCTGCCTCCAGCCAGGTTTTTCCGAGGGAGAACAGCACAGTCTACATGGTTCTAGGATAAGTATAACTACTTAGACTCCTCCCCCCCTCAAAAAAAAAAAAAAAAAAGATTAGTGCAGGGGATATGGCTCAGTGGTAAGTGCCTGCCACCTGTGAGACTCCAGTTCAACCCCTCAACACTCCCCCGTAGCAGGTGGGCACATAGACTGGGAGCAAGGGTGGGAGACATGCCCCCACCCAGCTTTGGCTGGTTCTCTGGTTTCTATTCATGTGAATAGAACAGTGGCAGGGCTTGTTCCTGTGGTGTCACATGGCTGTACCAGGGTCTGGTATTTCTAAGTAGGGAGTGTCATAACCCCAGGTTAAACATAGCGCAGCACAGAGCCACCTCACTTGGCACGCAACCAAATGTACAGAGGGCCCAGGAGGATGAAAGACAGCACAGCAGGTGTGGGTCAGAGTCTAGCCTGCAGAGGAAAAGGTGGACCTGGTTCTTCACATTTGAGACGCCACTCTGGCGGGCCTCCCCACCCTCAGCCCTCACAACTTGTTAAAGTCTATTAAGAAGCAAGCTTGAGGGGCTGGAGAGATGGCTCAGCGGTTAAGAGCACTGACTGCTCTTCCAGAGGTCCTGAGTTCAAATCCCAGCAACCACATGGTGGCTCACAACCATCCGTAATGAGATTGGATGACCTCTTCAGGTGTGTCCGAAGACAGCCAGCGACAGTGTACTCATAAATAAAATAAATAAATAAATCTTTAAAAAAAAGAAGCAAGCTTGAGGACCGGGCGGTGGTGGCGCACGCCTTTAAGCCCAGCACTTGGGAGGCAGAGGCAGGTGGATTTCTGAGTTTGAGGCCAGCCTGGTCTACAGAGTGAGTTCCAGGACAGCCAAGGCTATACAGAGAAACCCTGTCTCGAAAAACCAAAAAAAAAAAAAAGAAGAAGCAAGCTTGAGCCAGATGTGCTCTCTGTCACACACCTTCAGTCCCAGAGCCCCAGAAGCAGGTGGACAAAAACAAGCAACAAACACCAAGTGAGCTTGATTGACCCTGACCTGCAGAAGCCTTGCCAGATCACACACTGCCTCCCCAGGATGCCTCCCTCTCAGCCAATTGCTTGCTTTTAAAGTTATGTATGTGTGTGCCAGGTGTGGTGGCGCACGCCTTTAATCCCAGCACTCGGGCAGAGGCAAGTAGATCTCTGTAAGTTCCAGGCCAGCCTGGTCTACAGAGAGTTCCAGGACAGCCAGGACAAGCCCTGTCTTGACCTGTCCCCCAAAACAATGTGAATGTGGTAGGAGTGTGTGCATATGAGTGCAGGGCCTGCAGGAGTCACAGAGGTCCATCTACCCGGAGCTGGAGTTACATCAATGTAAGCCACCTGATGTGGGTGCTGGGAATCACACTTGCGTTAACCACTGAGCCATCCCACCAGCCCTCTGCTTTTAGTCTTTATAGGCAAAGTTTCACATAGCCCAAGCTGGTCTTGAACTCCTGCCCCCTGGCTGGGATCATCGCCGTGTGACAACATGCTCAGTTTATAAAACTGACCATGTCCAAGGATACAGTCAACAGTAAGCATTGGTGAGCATGGGAGCCCTGGGGTCCATCCCAAGCCCTGGGAAACATACTTTTTAAAAACAGTAAAGTTTGCTTATAGAAAACCATTAGCAGATGTATTAGGATGAGTGAGGCTGGATCACCGGCAGTGATGGGTGAGACCACAAAAGTCAGAGTATGAAAGCCACAGAGTAGTGGACACGGGTCTGGCCAGCATTCCAGCCTGACAAGTGGGCCGTGACCAGCTCACTTCTGGTGAAGGGTCTGAGAGCCCCTGGGGCAGGAGTGGTGGACCTAAGTCTTCAGGGAGAAGAAAATCCCTTTCACTTCCCTAGGAGTCTGGCTGACACCCAGGACTGCTTAAGGGCCTGGGCCACAGGACAGGCTAAAAATAAAAGCCCCACCCTGGCATCTGGCAGGAGACTACCTCTTTGGGCACCAACTCCAGGCATAACCGTGACATTCAATCTCACCTTATAATCTTGGAGATTGACTTCACCTTCTCTGCCTCAGTTTTCCTGCCTGCAGGATGTAGAAGGAGCAGTGTGCTCCTCCAGGAATGCTGACTGAATGACTGACAGCTGTTGTGATCCTTGTCCCAGGGCTGAAATCCTCACCAGGCAGGGAGTGCACGTGAGCTCAGGCTGCTGCCCATGCTGCCTCCTGAAAAGTCTGTTTACTGTTTATTGCAGCGCCACCTTGGCATCCCCCAGCACTTCCCACACCCCTCAACGTGTCGTGATCAGCATGTAGCCCAGGTTGAACTCAAACTCACTGTGTACCTGTAGCTGAGGTTGACCTTGAATCTTGATAAACTGAGAGTGGGGGCCAGGGTTTCATGTCCGACAGCTGAGATCAGCCCGTTGACCTAGTGTGTACTCCCCACTCCATGCTATAGACACACTGGCTTCCCTGGACCGCTTAGAGGCTCCATACTTATTTCCGAGGCTGTGCTCACCATCTTACAGGATGCCCCTCTAGGAGCTGCCCCAAGTGAACTTGGATGCCCACCTCAGGTGAGTAGAACTCTGAGCTCACAAAGGTAGAAGGAGGAAGCACAGACAGTATCTTTGGTATCAGTAGGTGCTGAACACACTTGAGTACATCATGAGTGGATGATAGAACAAGCAAGACTCACCAGCCAGCAGGAAGAAAACAGGGTCCAAGATGACCCGAAATCCAAGTTGAACCTGAATTGAAAGTCACAATTGTGGGTTTATTGTGGGTTTACTGTGGGTGCTGTATGACTGGAGCATATGGAGTTCTGTTGCTTTTCTATTTGGGAGGTGTGGGGGTTCTGCTTTCGTTTTGGAAAAAGGATCTCACAGGCTGGCCTGGCATAAATTTTAGTTTTTAACTTGAAAGGTTTTTATTGAGGCACACTCTGACCAAAATTGTTTCCCTTGGCCTCTCAAGCACTAGTGAGTCCAGCATGAGCTCCTGGCCTGAGGTGAGATTCCAGATGGGGATGCACCTCAATGGTACACAGCTCTTGTCTAGCCTGTGCCAGGGCCCTGGGTGAGAAATCATGTGTCCACATGTTAGGAGGCCAGGGGGCATCAGCGTGTCAGGAGCTATTCACCTTGGCGTCCTGATGGTTTGTTGGGGTTTGCATGTGTGTGTGTGTTTAGCTCAGAGGACAACTCTAGAGAGCTGGTGTTCTCCTTCCAGCATGTGGTTACCTGGGATTGAACTCAGGTTGTCAGGCTATGCAGCAAGAGTCTTTGCTGCCTGAGCCCTCTAGTGGTCATGGTTGGTTTTGAGCCAGTCTCCCTGACCCTGTAGACAAGCTGACCAGGAACCCCTGGATCTTGCTCCTGCCTCTGCCTCCCCAGCACTGGGGTCACAGGCAAACACCAGTTGTTTTATTCATATTCAGACATAAGTCGTCTTGTGCAGCAAGCACTTTACCCAGCACATCATCTTCCCAGCCCCAGTGTAATGGGTTTTTAGCCCAGAAACCCCCCTACAGAGAGAGACCTTGGGGGCAGGGGAGGAGATACATGCACATACACACTTTCATGGGTATTTTGCCTGCAAGTGTGTCTGGCCATCACAGGTGCCAGAAGAGGGTGTTGGATGCCCTGGAACTGGAGTTACAGATGGTTGTGAACTGGTACGTGCTTAGGAGCTTGGGCTCTAACCACTGTCCCTCCAGTTCCAAGAGCTTGGCTTTGAGCAAAATCATGAGGAAGTTTAAGAAGGAAGCAGGGAAGAATCTAGGGGGAGCTTTCCAGCCACTGGTTGTCTTAAAGGTCCAAAGGCACACCTAAGCAAGGAGGAAACTGGCTGAAAGACTTGCAGAGTGAGGAGGGGGAGGGGAGGAAGCCAGTCCTCTGCACAAGGTCACAGCCTCCTTCAGCAGTGCACTCCCTGCTGTGGAGTGGGGGGTGGGGACTTCACCAGGGCTATATAGAAATCATTTCTATAACGGAACCTGTAGGAACCCTTGGAGCCCCTCTTAGGGCTGTCATCACCTTCCGGAAAGTTCTACTACTCGTGGGCAGAAGCCGGGAGGGCCTTGGCAAGTAGCACAAGTTCCTCCTTTCAGTTCCCTGAAGAAGGCACCCGGGGCTGGCTGGAGCCAGGCCATGGTAACCTTGGCCTCTGCCCATTCGCTCGTCCCAGCCATCTACAAACTCAGGGAGACGCCGGTAGTGGTGGCGCACACCGGTAGAATTTGCTGAATGAGGCAGAAGCAGGGGGATCACGAGTTCAAGGCCAGCCTGGGCTACACATTTTTGCCGGGCAAACGCCTTTAATCCCAGGACTTGGGAGGCAGAGGCAGGTGGATTTCTGAGTTCGAGGCCAGCCTGGTCTACAGAGTGAATTCCAGGACTACACAGAGAAACCCTGTCTCAAAAAAACAAAAC